CACATTGTACAGTGGCATTGAGTGCCATAATGTGCACCTCTGCCTACCCCTTCGGGGATAAAAGGCGTGATGTTATGTTGCATGTTGTTGTTGTATATTTTTATTTTAAAAGAGACTTTTTTTAAAAAAAGTAACGATTGGAGTTTCTTGCTCGTTCTTCTCCACTCGAATCGACATTTTGGATTGAGCGCCTAGCTTCACTGACGGACAGACTGACAGACTATTATTTATTTCATATTTGTTGACGTTTCAAAAGTACCATATCATTGTTTAATTGAAATAAATGCTTTTGAGTTTGAGTTTGAGTTTATTTTACTAGTATAATACATAATAGTGAAGAGGAAAGATTTGGTAGTATGTATACTGGCCGGATTTGGAAAATTCTTCCACCATAGAAAAGCTTACATTCTAAAGAGTAACGTATGGTTAATCTCAGTACTCCTACGATATCGGGACCTAATTAAGAGATGTCTATAAATTTCCCCCGCTGGTGGAAAGTCAATATGCTTTACCTAGAATTCCAATAGGAATATTTATGTACCTATTAGTAAATAAATATATAACATATAATATATTATAGGAGGTATTAAATATATCATTTAGTTTAGTTTAGTCAGTGATTATAGAGGTACTTAGAGTGACAATGTACTACGGTAGGAAGAGGATGCACTTTCTTTTTGCGAATTTTGTGAACAGGTGGGTACTTCTGTTATTTTCGGTTTGATATATTACCTACTTACAAGTGAGATTACTTAGTAGGGGGATTCAGATTCCTCGTCTTTGTGAGACATTAGTCGAATTTTGAGATTTTACTAAAATTCTTATTTATCATCATCTTTTTCTCTTATTTATTACCCTGAGTAACGACTGGAGACTACGTTTACGAAAAAAACTAGCATGACGTTATCTCATTTAAGATTATTTACTTACTTTTCTTGTAGCATAATTTCAGACTATTCGTTAAAAATGCAATATGCAATGTCTCAATAGTTTTATTTGAACTTCCCGAACACAAACATTCTTAAGAAAAATTTGCTCACAACGGCCACTGAACCATTGACCCTGACCAATGACAGCGAGTTTACATTGTTACGTCAACTCGTACACATACATAATTATGTACATATACATCGTTATGTACTTAAGATTAGACAAGAAACTAGTGAGAAAGGTTAGGTAGTACTTTTCCGAAACAATTAACTTCTTTAATAGCTCATGAGACTCCACTCCTTGACTACAGACCTCCTCTCCTAAAGAGGGATTTGCCATACTGTCCACGCCTTTCATTTTTGATGACGAGGGGAAACCTTGCAAAGGCGCCTAGCTTTTTGGGGATAAAGACTAGGGAAACTGGGATTTGTACCTCAGTAAATAAAACCACCTCGGTGGTCACCCTCAGAATCTGTAAGGAGCACCGGGTCCTCTGAAAGAGACCTGCTGTGGAGCCCCCACGGTGCAACGCCTGTTACAGCAAATCCCTAGGCAGACGTACGTGCACCTTGATCATCGCTTATACTCTCCACACCTAGCCGGGCATCGCAGTTTAAAAGAATCAAGTTTATCAAAGACTGCTGCTGTCAGCTCTCCGTTAAATAAGTCCCTTACAGCCGCAATAATTAACTATTTTTAATTAAAAATGTGTAATTAAGATTTTTGAAAGAAACTCCATAAAATCAATGTTTAAAATCGATCCCTACATTCACACAATTTAATGAAACACAGCTTAGATTAAGCTATTAGCTGGAGTACGTGTTCCCGAAGGTTATAATACTTGTGTGTCATCAAATCCCAAGTGAATTGGTGGTGCTTATGGGTAAACTTGCTCCATCGTCTCCTCTCATTTTCAGAAAGTGAGTAAATAGATTTTATAAGGGTCGACAAGGCGCATGTGTTGCTAGCCGTACATAGGCCACGGTAACCACTTACAATCAGGTGGGCCGTGAGATCTTGCCGCAGTCGTGGTATAAAAAAAATCGTAGGCCGCATCAACGCTTTCCACCAGGCGAGATTGCCAAACACCGAACTATTTTATAGACAAAAAATATGTAGTCGGCTCTTGTGACACCCGCGAGGAGAATAGAGGTGGTGAGAAATATACTTACAAAATCTATCGTCATCACACGGCAATAATTAACTCAATTATTGCTATATTAATTGTCATGTTATTCATAAACAAGCAATAAGTCTATTATAAGTAGATACTTTATAGATTATTTTGCCAATTGAATGAAAATGTTTAAAAACATTGTAATTAATATAAAATTTAATTAGTTATGTGGTAGTTTTAAAAGGGTATTAGGTACTGTAATCATGCGTCTTGTCATAGGACCTTAAAGAAGTACGTGGAATCTAAAGAAGTAGGTAGCTAAGTACCAAAAGACCTGGAGCTGCGAAAAGTGAAACCCCTAGCGGGTTACCGGTGTTGTCAATAAATATCAACAATACAACAATTATTTATTAAGTAAACTGCTTGTATACATTTACCTATATGTGTGACGGAACTTTATCAAATTATTATATTTCCGGATACAATATTACGTGCTAACTATATTATAACTATCGTGAGTGTCGATTATTTTCAAGCGGTAGAGTGTACTTATGAATATGAGTCCCTAGCGTGGCTTGAAACTAGTTGTGTTCCTCGTCAAACAGTTACGTGCGTAAACCGAAAAACATAATGATTATATACTCTAAGTTATTAGAGAAAATGTGTTCTATACGTACTATTTGTAATAGTTACTAATTGATAGTGTTTGGTGATTACTAGTTTCGGAAAGCCTTACAGTGACTTAATTAACGCGACTCTTAGGTTACTTCAACAGTGACCATCATCGAACTGATATGCGTTTTATAACAATTTGATCAAGATGTAGTAACAAATATCTATGATTGTGAAACTGTCCTAGTTTTTAAAGATAATTTTACTACGATCGCCACCGATCTTCGATCCTTCACGGTCGTGGCTGTGTGTCGCTGTGTTCATATCTATGTATAAAGGATATAAGACTTGTATAGTCGCCTAGATGTGTACTAGTCGTTTTAAGTGAAAAATATTGTTAAAAATGGGAGCTGTTAGAAAAATGTTTAATAAAAGGCAAGATTAATTGTGCCCATATTCATTTTTATTGAAATTCATATATTTATTTGCATTGTGTTTTATATATTCTAACATAATTTTAGTAGAATATAACTGGTCCAGTTGCAATAGTCTGTTGGCGGCAAACTCAGAAAGTACTGAACGCATTAAGATGCAGTTTTTTCAAGTGCATAGAGTAGTTAGTGACGAAAGTTTCAATGCAAATTCATGAAGATAACGGTTTGCGTGTGAAACTTAATTTTAATATAATTATTAATTAGTGAATCGTGTTATTACAGGGACGAGAAAATGCGTCAGGTGATGATGTCGAATGTGGCTGCAAATCGTCATGCGCCGGTAATTGAGGCAGACCTGGAAGAAGCTTTAGAGTTAGCAGGTGAGTAGAGTCGTAACTTGTTACTATCGTTAGATTTAAGAAATGAAATGAAATGAAATGAAATGAAATGAAATGAAATGAAATGAAATCGTTTATTTGTAAACATAGGTTATATAAAGTTGTTTGAATGATTGACATACAATGCAATACAGCGAGTCCGTCTATGTTTTGCCTTAAAGCATACAAATTCATATGAGTTTTAGTAAATAGATTAATTTAAATTAGAAAACAAAAATACATTAATAGTCATTTAAGTATCTACACAGGAATAAGACATTTATTATGGGGGTTAAACCACTGAACCATCTTCATCAGTCATATCATGAGCCATATCCCTAATGCGAAATGTCATAATTTAATTAAGGAATATAATAATATGGGATGTCATGATAAGCACAAAGAATGCATCGTAAATACGTGGAGTAGTCCGAATTCCCCCCACCCTCCCCAATCTCCCCGATACCAGAATCCCCAATTTTTCTCAAATTCCTAATCCCCAAAAGGCCGGTAATGCACGCCTCTGGTTCCGGGCACCTATGAGCGACGTCAATTGCTTACTGTCAGGTGATCCGCCTGCACGATTACCGGCTTATCCCATAAATAAAGGATGCTTGCTACGTTCATCTATGAATTATGCGAAACTATGATATCTGGAAAGTGGATACGAAGATCGAACTGCTTTTATAGAAGTTAGCGGTAGACAAGTGGGCAGAGATTGGAAGAACGAGCGCCTGCGCTACAGGCACGACACGAAGTGTTGCTTGTTCTCTTTTTGCCAGACACACAATACATGTAGATAGCACTCACTTTCCGCAGCACAATTTTAAATTAGACTTATAATCTGTCCTCGTTGCGTAATTTGACGAATGCATATTCTTATCAGAAACGACAGGCGGATCTAACGTTGCTGTTTCGTGGACAGCGTTCATTGTTTGTAAGCAAGATGCAAGCATATGTTATTTGTAGGCTGTCGCGGAGAACCTATATAACGGGTTACCGGCTCCGGCTCGAAGCGCAGGAGAAGGAACAGGGTGGCTTTTAGCCAGTAAGAGTCTGACACTTCCTACCGCCTCACCCAGGCGGGAGAAGTCATTCGATGATTTTCCCCCCTTAAAAAAAGTTATTTGTAGGCTGCTTATTATTTGTGAAGTATGCATGCAGTTGCTTATATAGTTAAGGTCTACACTGATGAAAATTGTATTCATTAAGAACTTTAACTGTCCCTTTAATACATGAGTGACCTAATCCGAAGAAGTTAACGTGCCTATCTACATATCTTTGCAGGGTTGAAAATGTAGGTAGGTACATCGCTACATAATAATTATATACAGCTCTAGTAGGCAATTACGATAGTACATAATACTTGTCCTAAGACATCTCTCTTGGTCAATCAAAAAAACAATGGATAATATCCTACTTACATTGAAGTATACTCACGACTCACCTTATTATATGTACTGTGTATGTGCTTTTCAATGTCTAAGTGCCTACTTATCTAATAGTTGTAATAAATTACTTTACCGTGTTGCCCTTAGTACGGCGATAGGAGCTATCTTTGACGGACACTGTTCAGTACATACGTACTCGTGTTATTAAGATTAAGTGTATAAACTGAACACAACGTCCACATTAAAATTAGCTTATAAAAATATATTTCGAAAATATTAAATGGGCTAGATTCATTTTATCCTGGTATAACAGAGGTTGAAAAATGGACTTTATTATCTACTGGCAACCCGTCCCGGCTTCGCATGGGTTCAATATTCATGTATTATGCATAAAAACCTTCCTTAAGAATCACTCTATCTATTAAAAAAACCGCATCAAAATCCGTTGCGTAGTTTTAAAGATTTAAGCATACATAGGGACAGACAGACGGCAGATAGCGGCTTTGTTTTATACTATGTAGTGAAAATGAAATTTAGAAGACATATCACACAAAATTTGTACTCATTTAGGGACGATTATTGCATAAAATATGTAGCTCATGTGTATAAGATTTGCAGATATTTATTTCTATGACCCTACCGACTTTATATTAGAGACAAAATTATATAAAAATGTGTACTATGCCACGACGATAACCAGACACATAAAAACAACACACACATCTACAACATTGCTATATCTATTATTTCAGGCACGGGCAGATACCAGGTAGTCCACAACTTGGTGATGCTGGCCACACTCTTCGCTTCCATCCTGGAGATGGTAGGAATTGCCTTCATACTGCCGGCTGCAGCTTGTGACCTGGATATACCAGATTATTTGAAGGGAATCCTCACTTCATTGCCAAATATAGGTTAGCTTTAAATCATTAAGTAATATTATTTCAAACGCCTGGCAAAACTTAAATAGTTTTGATTGAAAGTTAATATCTACAAGTAAATAGCTATGAAAAAAAAATACCACTCAGAAACATTCAAATCAACTTGTCTTCTTTTAAACGGACTTCCCAAAAAGGAGGAGGTTCTCAATTCGGACAGTATGTTTTAGTTGGATTTATTTTTTCTGTGTTTGTACACTGTTTAGTCGTCGAGGTTTATGGACCGATTTGAGTGGTTATTTTATTGTTCGACGTGGAATAACTGAAATTTGGTCCCATAAAAATTTGTTTCAGATAAATAAACTTTATTAATAAGAATTTCTATTAAATATATAATATATATACAACTTAAAACTAAAAACTGAAATATTTTCGATTAGTTCAGTAGTTTTTATTTTATGACCATTATAAATACTTGTAATCCCAATAGTAGACGAAGAATCATATTTATACCTAGGTACTTTACACCAGTGTCGTATATGTGAGCCTTTGTGTGTGTGTATGTGTGTGTGAGCCTTTTGCCATTTATAGGACACAATGCTAGAGTCCGCATGCTGCAAGTATATGAAAAAAATTTAAAATCCCTCCCCTCCCGTCACTTGCTAAGCAGTCGTACTTGCAACCACGAAGCTGGCTATTTTATAACATCTATTGAAACAATACCTTTATCAATTCCAGGTATAATACTAACAGCTCCGTTCTGGGGCCGTGCAGCAGACTCTCTGGGCAGGAAGCCAGTACTCCTCGGCTCTCTGATAGTGTCTGGAGTCACCGCTTTCATCGCAGCATTCATGCCCTCACTGATCACCTTCGCGCTATTCAAGCTCGCTTCTTCACTGTTGTAAGTATTGTGAAGCATTATTTATTACTTAATTGTAAATAACTTAAAGACATCCGAAATATGTATATGGGTTTCTAGGCTTTAGCTTCGATCAACTATTGTTACGTTTTCATTCGTCGTTAAGGCACTTGCTTGTCAGAAGTAAGTTCTGTTGTCCGCTAAATTATTTGTTGGTATTAAAAATGACATTTAAGTGTGGGAGAGCCATGCTTCGGCACGAATGGGTCGGCTCGACCGGAGTGATATCACGGCCGAGTAGAAAACCGACCTGAACAACCTTTGCATTGTGTTTCGCAGTGTAAAAGAGGTTATCGGTGGCCCATAAATCCCCCCATCGTTCCCTAATTCCCCAATCCCTGAATCTCCAACATTCCTTAAATTCCTAATCCCTAAAAGGCCGGTAACGCACTTGTAACGCCTCTGGTGTTCCGGGTGTTCATGGGCGACGCCGATTACTTACCACAGGTGATCCGTCTGCCCGTATACCAGATTATTCCATAAAAAATATTTAACGTCTTTATTGATTGAACAATAGACTTTTAAGGACCAGATAGTTCTAATATTAGGATTCAATATTTTTATATATGAGAAAATCTGTTGCTCAAGCAATAGGTTTATTAACACTACAAATGACTCCATTCAAATATCTTAAATCTAATTAACTCTTATTTCAGCTTGTCCTGCCCATCATCTTTGGGCTATGCGTACGTATCCGAGATGTTGCCACGCAAACGACGAGACTTTGCAGTTCTAGTTACAAACGGACTCATCAATTTATTGACGGTCTTGAGCCCTGGTAAGATTTTCCAAACTGTGTTAAGTGCCCCTATAACCTCTTTAACTATTTTTCAAGATAAGATATCATATGTATTTTGCACTAGTTCGTAGTTAAGTAAGTACACGAAATGCGAGCTATGGAGAGGGCTATGCTCGGAGTATCTCTGAAGGATAGGATCCGTAAAGAGGTGATCCGACAAAAAACTAAAGTTACCGATGTAGTTGAAAGGATTAGCAAGCTGAAATGGCAGTGGGCCGGTCACATATGTCGAAGAACCGATGACCGCTGGGGTAGACGTGTTCTGGGGTGGAGACCGCGTCTAGGCAAACGTAGTGTAGGGCGCCCTCCAGCTAGGTGGAGTGACGATATACATAAAGTGGCTGGTAGCGGTTGGATGCGTAGAGCTGAAGACCGAGCTCAGTGGCGTGCCATTGGAGAGGCTTATGTCCAGCAGTGGACGGAAACAGGCTGTTGATGATGAGGTACACGAAAAAATGTAGTTGTTTTCAACTAATTGTCATTTCAATTACTATTCATCCTTACTATCCATAATCACCGACAAATTCTTTGATTCCAGGTTTAGCCTGGATAATTCTGTCGTACGACTGGGAGTACCAGTTCGGAGCCATAGACCTTCGACCATGGCGGCTGTTGACAGCGGTGTATGCCTTCCCACTTCTGCTTGCTGCACTATGCCTGATTGTAGCTGATGAGAGCCCCAAGTTCCTCATGACGAAAGGAAAGGATAAGGAGGCTTTGGCAATCGTAAGGAAGATCTACTGCACGAACTCTGGTTTACATGAAGATAGCTTTTGTGTGAGTAGATAATTTCTTTTTGATTGCTTTAGAAGATAAGTTATTTTATTGGATGATGATGATTTTTGTTAAGACAGAGTCTGGAATTGTGCCCGGTATATGGCAATAGGCTTACCCACTATTATACGGGACTCATAACATAAATAGTGAAAAGCGGGTGTTACATTGTACAGTGGCATTAAGTGCCGTAATGCCGTACCTCTGCCTACACCTTCAGGGACAAAAGACGTGATGTCATATTAACTAGTTCTTAAGTCTTTAACAAAGCCAAGAATCGAACTAGAGACACCTTGTCCGGTATTAACGCTTGTGGCCACTTGCCTTTAGAGGAATGCAAGTGAGACCCGATCCTAATTCAATTAGAACAGTAATTTGACCAATATCTTTATATATTCCAGGTAAAATCACTAAAGATACCATGTGACATCAACGACTCCGAGCAGCGCGGTTCTGGCTGTGCGCTTGCGCCGAAGACACAATCCGAGTCTGCGTTTGCGCTACTACGGCCTCCGCATTTAAAGTGGTTCGCGCTGACTGGGTTCCTCATGTTTGGCCTGTTCTCTTTGTAAGCAACTTAATTTTTTATTAGTTTAATTTCATTGGTCCTGTTTTTTTTAAGTTTTCCACTTTTACCAGAAGGTAAAGTAATAAATTATTCAGGGTTTGGTAATAACTACTTGACTACTAAACACTTTGAAACTGACGATTAAGAGGTTTCAAGTTTTGATTCTCGGGAAGCCGGGATCGATAAAAGTTCGTAAAATTAGGCAATGTAAGGTTTATGTCGGTTTTCGGAATTCCCAGTAACAACAGTCGAGGCTTTTTTTTTTTGAGGAGGGAAAATCATCCAATGACTTCTCCCGCCTGGGTGAGGCGGGAGGGAGTGTCAGACTCTTACTGACTAAAAACCACCCCGTTCCTACTCCTGCACTTCGAGCCGGAGCCCCGGCAACCCGTTAAGTCTTCCGCGGCTCCGTATCGGCATCAGCCCTGTTAGGCCCCATCTGTGGTGGTCTGATGGCTCCTTGAGGCGCGCGCGGAATTCGACGCGCCGTACGCTCGGGCCTGGTTCTGGTCGGGCGGCGAGTCACCCGTGCTCGCCGTCCGCAGGCCCGTGCTTACGGTGGCCGGAGATCGTCTCGCGATCCCCGACGCCCGTAGTGTCTCTCGCGACGGCCGGGTCGTGAGGAGGTTCGTTACCTCACGCGCTCCGCCTCCTCCTTAGCTAGCATGACTGCTTCGCAGAAGGAGGAAACGGCATCCCAGTGCCCCTCGCTCCGTACCATGGTCTGAACCAGAGCCAGACGTGAGAGGTCGCCGTCGCTGATCACATTCCTGAGGACACGGCGGTGCTCAGTCCACGCAGGACACACCGCCACCGTATGCTCCACCGTGTCCTCCGGGCGATCCTCGCAGTAATGACACCCGGGCGTTTCCTCCCGCCCAATCCGAAACAGGAACCTACCGAAACTTCCGTGTCCGGTAAGCACCTGCAAAGAGGGGACTTACCGCTGCAATGACAGCGAGCCCAGCCTTCGGTTGCGACAGTCGTTGCTGACATTCCGCCATGAGATCACGCCGGAGCTCATCCCGCCACGCATTAATCTGGCGCGGCAGCGGAGATTCACCCCGGCGACGTGCCTCCGCGCGCAAACAAAACACGCGCGCGAGCACCTTCGCTTCCAGATCCCACGGCGGTAATCCGGCAAGGAGGTTCGCCGCCCCCCTGGAGATCGTGCGATATCCGCGTATCAATCGGATCGCCATGACCCTCTGTGATGTAAGCAGCGCCAGAGCGGGCCGCCGCATCAGGTTTGGCGCCCACACAGGGGCGCCGTAGAGGACCATGGACCGCAACAACAGTCGAGTCTGGAATTATCTTTCTTCTTATCTTCTACCTCAATTATATAATGGGAGTTTTTTTTATTATTATTAGTATATTAGATTTCTTTTTCTCCACGGACTCTTGTCCGTGCCCTTGTCATTCCATTACATTTTCTTTTATCTTACAGTCAAAATTAATTGTTACAAAAATCTTACGTGCTTCATTATCCACATTTTTTTCACAAAGAAGGTTGTGTCTACTATCTATATATATACACAATACATGTTTTATTATATTTACATTAACCCTACTGGATCGGCCCAACCGCGCGATGAGCGATCCGACCTGCTCCAGCAGAAGGCGCCCGTTCACGAGCATGACGTCAGGGCCAGCAATCGGTCCGATCAACCATTTCGTAGGGAAGTTTCGTTTCGTAGAAAATGAGAGTTAGTTATCTATTATAACACTAACGGTATCGACCCAAAAATATTCAATGACAACCCTCTTTAACCCCTCGGAGGTTAAAAGGTGTGATGTTGTTTAAAAACGCACTTTGGTACCTAATAATAGTTGTAATCATGTCTATACAGGTTTATTTTTAAATTCGTTATCTGTGATAGACGATACGTCATAAACAGCATAACATCATAATACGCCTGTAATTCCCCAATAACTGAAGAATTAAACAGATGATGTATTTCGTATCTTGATTATAATCTTTATGCAATTTGATAATAGACAGAAAATTAAGTACTTAATTTAAAAATGCACCTCGAGCCATGTCCATGCCATAATTAGATATTATGTCGCGGAGAACCTAACGGGTTACTGGGGCTCCGGCTCGCAGAACAAAGAACAGGGTGGTTTTTAGTCAGTAAGAGTCTGACACTCCCTTTCACCTCACCCAGACGGGAGATGACATTCGATGATTTTCCCCCCTTAAAAAAAGGGTACTATATGTAGGTATGTTGTGATATTTTTACACGATGCATCAATTTTTTTTTTTATCCTACTCTCCTTTTCGAACCGTCTATTTCGATTAAGTTGCAAACTGCTCGTGTTTCTAATTAATATACAAAACTTAAATGGATCAGTCCAGTTCATACTTTTTTCTATATTATTAACTTTAAGCTAAGAAAGTTCACAAGCTCATAGATTTTTCTATCCACTTGAGACTTTTCAAAGTCAAGTTAAAGACCAGAAAGGCACTTTTGAACGTCAACGTGACGTTCAGTTTATTCCCGACTAGTATATGCTCTTGTATCTATAAAACGTAGTCGTACTCATTCATGATCATTTATTTTTGAGAAACAAAATCGCATCACTTTTAGGATCTAAAAGCCGTACTCAGAGACATTAAATGGTTTTTTTTTTTAAGGGGGAAAAATCATCAAATGACTGCTCTCGCCTGGGTGAGGTGGGAGGGAGTGTCAGACTCTTACTGACTAAAAACCACCCCGTTCCTTCTCCTGCACGTCGAACCGGAGCCCCGGTAACCCGTTAGGTTCTCCATGGTTACTTAACCCAGCCGTTAGCAATTGATTTCGGAACAAAATACTAAAGAACATTTTTTAGTAAAACTCAAATATATCTTTGAGTATGGCAGTAAGACGTAAGTTTAATTTTCGTAATTTGTTTCAGCTTAAATGGTCTGTTCCTCTTCGCGCCAGACACAATCAATAAAGTGATGAACAGCAATGAAACGAGCGGCACAGTCTGCGAACTAATGGACATGTCGGACAACTCTGTACGTATCTTGAAATATCAACTTTGTACAAAGTCTGTTAAGGTTGAATTTTAGTTATGGTTGGTTAATATATAAGGTCTATTTTGGCATGGCAAAACAAATGATAGAGAAAAAGCTTTAGCATGAAACAAGCAACTACCAATCTTGTTCACGACCTTACCGGCTGAGTAGAAAATAATGACAAATACAATCACTGTTTTTTTGTATTATAACTTTCGTGAGACATACTAAATAAATTATTATGTTTTCGGCTTACTCACGTAATTATTTGAAGAGTAACTCGACTAGTTTCAAGCCATGCTAGAGGCCTAATTCATGAGCAGCATTTCGCGACCTGCGACGTGGCGACTGTCGCGCTGCTACGCTGTAGCAGCGCCGAAAACATAAAAAAACAATCACTGTTACTTAAAATTTTATTATACCACTGCACTCGTCCACCATGCACATACTTACATAAAAGCTAGAATAGTCACTCCAAGATTGGAAAAAGGCAAAAATTTCCCAGCGACAATTGAGTAACAGAAACCAGATTCATATTTCAGATTTTCTCATAATTTTACTTCTTTTCTTCTTTATGGTCCATGACTAATGTCACTTCACTAGACAGTGGTTCTAACAACCACCTAACGAACAAGGCAATTCACGGAAGGAGAAGACAGTAAACAAGTTTTTGTTTCTTCTTACAGACATCATCAACAGAATGCCTAGACTCAATGTCGTACCACACGTTCTACATCATGGTGGTGACGACCATCGTGTACGGGGTGCTGGTCACCGCCGGCAGCATGAGCCCGCTGTCCAAGAAGACACTCCTCGTCTCCATGTTCTGTGTGGTTGGAGTCGGGTGCCTAATTGCTGGGCTGTCCACTAACAGGTAGGGGAAACTATACCTCTGAAATTGTAGAAATATGTAATTAAAAGAAATAATTGCAAATATCATGGATGGTGGTACACATTTTACGAGTTATATTGTTTAAGACGATTCTATTAACGGTAAAATGTGGTGAATAGGGATAGAAAAGGGGTGAACCGATACTATGAAGAATTTCCCAATATTTATTCACCCCTCTTCTGTCTCTCCTCTCGATCTGTATCCACTACTATTTTACGGTACTAAACAATAAAAAACTTCAATACCGTAAAACGGGGTGAAAAGAATTCGAGAGGTGAATAGATACAGAAGAGGGGTGAATAAATGTTGGGAAAATATTCTAACACCAATATTCACCCCTCGAATTCTATTCACCCCGTTTTACGGTATTGAAGTTTTTTATCGTATTTTAACTTCAATATTTTGTAGATCTCAAAGATTTCCCGAAACCTTGTCTCCAAAGGTGCCTATTTGTGGGTATGAAAGAAAATATAGTGAAATTCTCCAGCTTTCGAAATACTTAGGTGTTAGCTCTAGGCTGAGTTGCGCTACAAGTCTAAACTTTAATAATAAGTACTCTATCTGTTCACAGAATCTTGGCTGGAGTGGCGATGTCATCCTTGCAGCTGACAGCACTCGGTATCGGACCTCTCACAGCATACGTGGTTCAGCTCTTCCCCACCGCGCTCAGGTAAACAATTTTCTAAAGAAATAATGATAACAAAAGAAATGGCTGAGTATCTGCAATCTTTAAACTACTCTTTATGCCCCTATTTTTCATGTCTCCTATTTACAAACAATGATTGGAATAACAAATTATAGATTGGAAAATGAATTTATTATTTCATGCGAAAATGGAACTCGGGACACGTTACATAATCATCCTGCTATTGCTGCAGCTGAACGTCAAAAGAACAGGTGTTAAAATCCAGATCTCAGATTATCCGGCTGGACAGTTTTTGTGGAAGAACAGTAAATCGCTCATAAATTGTACGACATATTATTATAACATACGTAATACAGTACAAACAACAGTAGGCAGGTTTATAATCTTAGTATCATCAGAGTCAGACCATTGCCGGTTTTCCCCACCTGTGCGTCGCCGGCATCGAATGCTAGTTACTCTACAAAGCCTAAGTAAATATTTTGCCGTCACCGCAACAAACTAAAGGTGAAGCCACAACAATGCTTTGCTACGCCCGCCGCTAAATACAACGTCGCGTCGACACAATGCGATGACTTTCTACTTATTTTCAAATAGATTTTTGATTTTTGTCGTTGGCACTAATTGTTTAACAGATTTGGCTGAATGTCAGTGTTTTACGTGTAATATTTTACGTGACAAAATGCTAATCATGTCTTTAGTACTATCGATTCACTTTTATAAGTACGAAGCGGCTGTTATGCGGTACGCGGTATTGAAAATTTTTGCGGTGCGCTCGTCGCTGCGTAGAGTTGTGGCCTGACCCTTACCTAGGGTTTTCAAGAAAACATAATTATTAATAACACATAGTTATAATCTCTTATTATGATATCACAAATATATTATAATATACCTACGTATAATGAATAACAACTGACGACAAATAGATTAACTATATTTGGCTATAGGAAGTCGGTGGGTTATCTTTATTAGTATCTGAAAATTTCCAATCGTTTGCAAAAATAACAAGACTTAGTTGCTATGTAGCACGTAATGATATTGTCAATCGATTAATCTGTTTAATATCGCTGTCATAAAATCGAAGTCAATGGAATATTTTAAAGTGCAACTAATTATTTACGTCATAATCGTTTATTGCAATTAGTTAACTACTTTAATTTACAGTTCCATTCCTGCATGGGATAACTAATTGTGTAAACGTTTGTTGGTCTTAACTTTATTCGGAAAGAAGTATCAATACATAGTATAAAACAAAGTCGCTTTCGCTGTATGTCCGTATGTATGCTTAGATCTTTAAAACTACGCAACGGATTTTGATGCGGTTTTTTTTAATAGATAGAGTGATTCTTAAGGAAGGTTTGTATGTATAATACATGCATATTGCACCCGTGCGAAGCCGGGGCGGGTCGCTAGTAAAAAATAAAACATAAAAATAAAAATGCCTTATATTTCTTACTAGTTTACAAAGAATTGAACAATATAAAAGATTGGTTTTACGTAATAAGATTTCCTTTGCTTTACATCCTTCTCGGTTTACGTTACTTGCATTAAGAATCAGTCGCTTTATTCGAAGGTGAAGGCCTCCTCTAGTGCTTTCCATTTGTCCCTGTTCTTGGCGATATTCATCCAATGTTTGCCAGCTACTTGGATTATGTCGTCTGTCCACCGCGCGTATGGTCTGCCTCTTTTTCTCGTGCCCACCGGGCCTGGCCAAGATGTTAGGAGGAACGGAGGTTATCTGCATACCTAGCTATGTGACCAGCCTAACGCAAGAAGGACACGGAAAGAAGTACCTTGAATATAATTGACATTTTACTCGTTTCATCTGAAAAAGATTAGCGTCTTTCAACTCTTTCAAACTAATGAAAGTGACAAATAATAAATCGAAATCACTCATCGTCTTCAACATATAAAACGTAGGAAGCCGAGAAACACTGATAAGTGAATTTAAATTGAATGCGTTAGATGTTGTTTGTTTTGGCATCTACCTATTCTAGCGAACTCTATACCTATAAGATGTTCATTAATCAGTGATACTATTTAATTAATTATATTAGATGTAAGAAAACATATCCTACTTAGCTAACGGGACTGAAATGTTCCTGAGTAAAAAATCCCAAATATAATTAAAATTAACATGTAAAACATTAATCACCACGCCTGCTCATGACGGATTGGTAATTTCAGTATGAAGCATTATTAGGTCAATATTATAAGATTCGATATCTTAAGACATGATCACCAGAAAAATGTTGCCAGTTATTGCTGTTTTAAATTTTCAGGTAGTAATGAATGATTCAATTTATGCCCACAGGGGTACGGCAGTAGGCGCAGTGTTGATGTTCGGGCGGCTGGGCTCTGTGGTCGGCGCTAACGCAGCCGGTGTCTCCCTCAGCGCAGCTTGCACTCTCACATTCTATGGATTCGCTTTTCTAGTCTTTTGTAAGTACATAAAGCTTTTTTAATGTTCGAATTAATTATTTTTTATACAAAAAAAATGCTTCTTTTATAAAGCGTCCAAAAACTTATCATTAGCTTGATCTTGAACTGTTGACACTAGATATTATATTTTGTAATACAACACACATTAGAGTTGATATACCGAATTATACAACTGGCCCCTGTACGATAGAGACCAAGTTTCAAATAATTAAATTTAATACAGCTGTTACCTACACAATCTCTTAATCCCAGAATTTAATATGAGGACAAGGGTTTTTTTTAAAGGGGGAAAGTCATCGAATGGCTTGTCAGTGTGTGTCCGGCTCAAAGTGTCAGTCTCTGAGTCTCCTACTGACTAATAACCACCCTGTTCCTACTCCTGCACTTTGAGCCGGACCCCCGGTAACCCGTTTAGTTCTTCGCGGCTCCGTATCAGCATCATCACTATTGGGCCCCATCCGTGGTAGTCTGATGGTAAGAGTGAGCTATGCTCACACTCTAGACACTGTTCCTGGATTCCATCCTTAATCATAGAGTTATCGAAAAACCGGACAATATTCAATAACACTTTACCTTGAAAAAAGGATTTCTGTTTAAAATACTTAGTTTTTGTCTATCTAAGTCTCAAGGATGTTTAAAGACGAAAACCCTCTTATGCACAGGAGGTTGACAGTCCATCGGAAGACTCATGCAGACTGTTGATTAATATAATAATTAATGGATAAAAACCTACATTCATTAACAAAATCTTCCTACTAATATAATTAACTATTTTTTGCCCACGGCTTCGCCCGCATCCCCTTGGGGTAATAAGTAGCTAAGTGTTATCTCAGACCATAATCTATTCCTGTTTCAAACTTCATCCCGATCCCTTCAGCCGTTCTGTTGTAATTGAACAATAGACTCACCCCTATTACATGGGACTCATAACTGAAATAATGAAAAGTAGGTTTTACATTGTACAGTGGCATTAAACTGTCAAACACCAAGCGGTCACCGGTGACCGCAACCTATTGTTCTATAATTGTGTCTGCAAAACCGGTACCCGACGAGTTAAGTGCCGTAATGTGCACCTCGGCCTACCCCTTCGGGGATAAAAGGCGTGATGTTATATTATGTTATGAACAATCAAACAGATTGAACTAACTAATTTGTAATATAATAATAAATTAATTCAATATAAGTACCAAGTAATAATAAAGTAGGTTTATCTAAAGCCCACAAAGCCAGGACACAGATAACGGCCTCCCGCACTTTTAGGAGCTGATCTTATTATAACACGGCTATTACAAACGTTATCACATAATTTTATGTACTTCAGGATTATATTTTTACACTGATTATATATTTTGACATAGATAAATCATATCAGGATGTTTTTTACAAGTTCTTTGGAAAGTTACTGGATTAGTGTTTGACATTTCTACAGGCGGAAATGCAACGTGCTGATGTAATTTTTGGTGTTAGGAATAATGTGATTGTATGACTTTACTTTATTGGGTTGTAAATGACCTTGAACACTTGACTTGTGTTTAATATGTACCATCTTATTTATGTATTTGTCATCTAAAAAGAATATAACGTACTGCGGTTATAACTGTATCGATGCTTATTAAGGTAAACCCTGTTTGACATCGACCTATCACAAACTCCGTTCTATTTTATATTATTCGTCAGACAATCACCCAATGCATACATCTTTTGTTTCTTTTCAGTAGTTGCTTACTACTAGCACCTAATTAAAAACAAGGCTATGAAAAAAACAAAACTTCAATTAGTGACCGATCTTATTTCATGATTTTAGGCCTATCTTATGTGATTGAATGAATTGTATCTACACATCAAATGCCGCACAAAGTAATCTAATTATGTCAAGAATAAATTAGTTAGTAGGTACACTGCAGACACGTGGCACGCTCTCATAAGTTATCGAACCAAGACTTCATTATAATTATGTTCCGTTGGGAAATTTAGACAGATCCATTTTTCAATGAATCGAGAACATATCTACAAATTGTGGTCTTAAAATTTGTAATTACTATTAAAATCATTACATTAATTTAACTATCTTTTCTTCTTGTGGGCTAGCTTTTGTTTTTTTTTTATATTTAATGGGCCGACGTTTGACCACTATCTCGCCTGGTGGTAAGCGATGATGCGGTCTACGGTGGAGCACGGCGTCACAGCAACCTATTCACTCGGGCCTTGAAGATTTTCAGGTACCCTTCAGGAAATACAGGCTCTGGCAACGTTTAACGCCTTCTGTGTTTTTCTTTTCTTTGGTGAACAAAAGTCTAAGATTTATTCTGATTAAATGGCATCACCTCACGGTTGACTGTTACAGAATGCGACCCGGCATTAAGTTCGATATGGTATTCAGAAGTGTAAATAAATAGTTTAATTGACCATTTTGTTTTTGTCCACAGTATGTGCGGGCCTCAGCTTTCTTCTACCTTCAGCAGACCAAACGACGAAGCCACAGGAAGCAGACAGCTGATAAATATAATTGATAATTACATTTATTTATACGCCATACTAGTTGTAAAAATGTCAGCACATCAAGCTTACCCAATACCTAAAAATATACGGCAGATATACAACCTTAAAGTTTTGGGATAAAGTTGAAAATCAATTAAAGCTTGGGGTAACTTGATGTGCTAGATACTATACCTTTTATACTTTTTATATTTATACCACCTTTTGATAGTTGCCTTATTCTAGTTGTCTATAGATAAATATTATCTCGTTTCATGAAGAAGTATCGAGCTAAATGACAGAATTCGTACGATAGAAACGTTACTACGTTCGACACTCTCATTGGGCTGCTTCAATGAATCAACCAATCAGAGGGCTTTAGTACGAGTTTGTTCTATGTATTATGTAATCGAAATGAGACTGCGTTCGGCGCTGTAATTGATTAGTTCATTGAAGCCGGCCACTCAGAGCACCGAACGAGGTTTTGTTTCGTTTACTTTAAACGTAAAACGAACTCTACTTAATCCCTAAGAAGTGTTTACAGTCTCGACTTATAATATTCGATAGAAAAGGCAGTTTTCTGAGTGTTCCTATTATATTTGGCAATTGTAAGTAGGGTACTTACAATTGACAGTGGACTAAAGAACAGTGACAGAAAAGCCGCTGCTTTATAGACGGTTCTGAAAAATGAAATAAAAGTTAAGAACTACCAATTTTTACTTTGTAAAGAATGCTTTAGTTCTGAACGAAGCCTGAACATTTTTTCACTATTTTATTTATTAAGTTAATGTTACAAAACAATGACAATCGATAATTATACAAAGTAAAATATAAAAAAAAATTGACTGTAGTTTTCTTTTGTTTTACTCTAGTTATATTCTTTTTTGTCAGTAAACAGTGCCTTTAGTTAGCCAAATGCTACCTTAGCGCTTGTCTACAGAGAGAGAGTAGAAACCAAAATGTATAGGGATGACATATGACAATGACAAGTGTCAAAATTTAGTTTACTACTCTACAGGTAGACAAGCGCTAAATGGTATTTGGTTACAGCTGCAGGAGTGATTGTTATGAAAATCATTACTTCATATTTTTGAACAGTACCCGCACGTGGAACTTAAACAATGATACTGAGGCAGATAGAGAAGGAGGGAAGTAAGTACGTTAAATTGGGATGACAGACATTGACAGTATGAAAATTAAAAATCTAATTAGTTTATCAGTTAGGCAATGATAAAATATTAGACACGTATTAGCCGCTAGCAGTAGTTAGTCTAGTAACTATGTAGGTATTTGATGAAAATAATGAATTTATTTGAAGAGTTCTGAATGCGATATGTTACAATCATTATGCAGTAGGTACAGATAAAGAAAAGGTACATAAACTATCGACCTACAAACTACGAACCACAATCAAATTGTTTTGCAAACAAACCGATTCATTCATAAAACAAGCGTATTATTCGATGTCAACTTTATATGTCCGATTGCGTTACAAAATGGCATCAATCTATGCATTTTGAAAAACATTTTTTATTCATAATCTATGTAAAATAGACATTTTTAGTGAATTCACTAAAACTAACAATCCAAGATGGCGGCTGCACGAAATTTTTAATTTATCATCATGGGTATCATTTTCATGGTTTTTGAGGGCGGTGAAAATGATGGCGCTGTCAGATTCTAAATCCAAGATGGCGGCTGCACGAAATTTTTAATTTATCATCATGGGTATCGTTTTCATGGTTTTTGAGGGCGGTGAAAATGATGGCGCTGTCAGATTCTAAATCCAAGATGGCGGCTGCACGAAATTTTTAATTTATCATCATGGGTATCGTTTTCATGGTTTTTGAGGGCGGTGAAAATGATGGCGCTGTCAGATTCTAAATCCAAGATGGCGGCTGCACGAAATTTTTAATTTATCGTCATGGGTATCGTTTTCATGGTTTTGGAGGGTGGTGAAAATGGTTTTGGAGGGTGGTGAAAATGATGGTGTTGCAATAATGCCAATCATGAGTTTATATGGAGCAGGGGACTATCCTGACTATCCTTAAATGTAAACTACGTCAGTCTTTAGAAAGGACGACGTAAGGTGGTGGTCACAAAAGTGGTTGGTTGCGAAAATCTAATTTTGTGGGGCAACATGTCAAAGACTTATGTCCAGCCATGGACCTTACGAATACCTACTGAAAGGCTACTCAACTTTAAATAGTACTTAAGTATCGTGTCATCTATGTAATTTTACATAGAATTAGTAGTGACAGAACTATACTTATCGCATTTTTAATTTTTTTATTTTGGAAAATCTTTGCCCCACACTATGATTTTCTCCTGTGTCGTTGGTGCATGTACAAACATACAAGCTCACATACACATGACACCCAGACCGGAACAACAATCTGTGGATCACACAAAGAGTTGTTCCGTGCGGGAATCGAACCCACTACACACTCCGTCAAAATTGAGTGGCGCTTGAGTATTTGGCCATTACAAACGAATGTGATGAATATTACAGTGGTATTTTTGTAAGTATGATAACTATCGTGAGATCTATTGATTTTTAATTATTAAAAGTCTACTTTAATCTTATTTGAAATAGGATAATTTAATGAGCAAAGTATTGTTTTCTGGTTCTATAAAATTAATGTAATAAGTAGGTATTTTTTTTTAAGGGGGGAAAATCATCGAATGACTGCTCCCGCCTGGGTGAGGCGGAATAAGTAGAGGTAGGTATAGGTACTATATTAACAGATACTTAATACTTTAACATGCGCGTGCTCACATTGTACTTAGTGGTTCTTATCGTTACTTTTTAATTTTATTATTTCGTGATTTATATTCGACTCGTGAGTTGTTTGTCCCCTGTTTCTTAGTGTGTATAAAAGTTACAATTAAGTAACAGTGCTTAGAACTGACACACTTATCAAGCACAGCTCTGGCACAACTCTGGCACAACTCCGGCACGGCTCCGGCAGGGCTCCGTCAGAGCGTGATTTGCTTCGGAAACAGTACTAAAAGGCTATAAGCACGCTGTCGACGCGCGGCCGCGCCGGCGCTTACTCCTTTTTTGTATTTCCCCCTCCCCCCCTTCCCCTTCCCTCGGACCTCCGATCAGTGCGGACGTGCAAATTGTTACACATATTTCGATTTTATTAAAATAATAAACAATTTAAATAAAGTTAGATACGAGTGTGGTACCAGGAGTGCATAAACGGCCGGCAAGTTTATCTGGTCAGGTGCGTTTTCGTTGGGTCCGCCCATTGCTTACCTGTGTCAAAGTACATTATAAATAAATGCGACAATACCCTTGTGAGTAAGCGAGACACATATAGTGCGCCAAGGAAGATAACCACATTTGCGTACGATTATATCGTGCTACATTACGCAAAGGGATCTTCTTATAACGGACGGAAAGCAAAATTGTATGAAAGCGCAGATTTTAACAAACTTATCTTGACCCATCGCTGTGGTTCATCGGTGCGATCGCTGTTGTACTGGTGCCTATAATACTTAATCAGTAAATCGCGTCAGAATGCCAAACAAAAGCAACCTACCACCCACATCACCTGATGTTGATCCCGCTGTCGGTGACGCGACGGAGAACGCGAGCAGGGTTAAATCATCATTACCGAATGCTGCTAGGGCTAGTATCCAACACTACGACTCGGCTCCTAACTTAATGACTATGTTGGATAATATAACGGAGAGGAAAAAAAGGAAATGCGAAGAGAGTGAAAATTCAATGAATGATGTCATTAGAGACATGTTTGCTGCATTTACTAAGGAGCAGGCGGCTCGATTTGAGGAATTACAGATGACTATCTGTAGTTTAAGGGAGCAAAATAACCGATTAACCCAGAGTGTTGAACATATGTCTAATAAATACGACGAGCTATTGAGTAAAATCTCTCAGCTTGAATCAGCTCGACGTGATGACAAGAAAAATATCGAATTTCTTCAAGAAAAACTTGAATACAGTGAGCGCAAGGGAAAGTCAACGTGCATCGAAATACGGAACATACCAAAGAAATCCGGTGAAACTAGGGATTATCTTTCCGGACTAATACAGAGAATTGGAAAAACAATAAAAGTGGATATTGCACAAGACTGTATTAAAGATATTTACAGAACAAAGTCAAAAGATTCCTCGAACCCTATAATCGCGGATTTTTCTACAGTAATAATTAAGGAGAAAATTCTTGGACACGTCAAAACATATAACAAATCAAAAATAGCTGGTGAAAAACTGAACTCAACTCATCTGGGATTTCAAAATCCGGGGAGGCCTGTCTTTTTGTCTGAATGTCTCACTACTATGGGTCAGAAGCTGTTCTATCTGGCTAGGACCTTTCAGAAACAGTACAACTATCAATATTGCTGGACATCGCATGGCGTCATTTACCTACGGAAAAGGGAGGGGTTACCGCATATCAAAATCACCGCTGAGCGGGATATTGAGCAATTGAGAAGGAGTGAATGACTGCGAGATGATATAGTGGTAAATATGTGGAGGACCCTTTTTTTGTTGCGTGTTATCTTGCATTCATTATCTACTCGTATTTTTTGCATTACCTGTTTATTTTTTGTATCGATTACATTGTTGCATGTTTATAATAATAATCTTACACTATCAACACTACACACATTTAAATACATACATATAGACAACGTTGATTCTTACTATAGTTACTACATACATCTAATAAAAAACTGCGAGACCATGTTCTCTCCGGTATCAATCTTAAAAAAATATTATTGGTATTGTTTTTGTAATACGGTGCGATCTGTGTGCTATTATTGCAATAATAAGGCGACATTGGT